AAAATGGTTTCCAGAAAAAAATACTTGATTTACTTTACACTTTTATGTATTTGTACAATCGACCTAATGGCGGCGAGCAGGGGTATCATCGGCCCAATCCGACTTGCATACAGTTAAACCTATTAATTGATTATAAAACCTATTAATTGATAAAACCTACGTAGCACTTGAGACGACAATTGCAAGTAATTTGGTTTGTCTTTTTTAAGATTAAATCTTCCTTTTTGGCCACATGTTATATCAGGCGAGTACTTTGTTTTGTAACAAAAATATATATACGTTTAAATGACAGGTGTGTTTGTCGAATACTGACTGTATTTGTTTGTTTATATGTTATTAATCAAAGAATTGCTATAAAGCGAAATTACCTGTTTGGCAGTTTATATTCTATAATGATTTGAATTTGTGGATTCTACGTAACGATAAATCTAAATACAAATACGATATACGATAGGAAAATCATTCCACCGACATAGGGGTTGGAACTTCATTGAAGTCGATCCTGGCTATAGTTCCATAACAGGAATGTTAATGATATGAATCTTATCCCTTTAGAATTCCTCATTCTAAATAAAAAAACTCCTGTCTTGTTTTTACACAAATACATGTATCAAATAATAATAATAATTGCATGCCAAATGGATATTGTACTATTATTATCGCCATAAATGATGTGTAATTTACTAAAGGAAATGTGGCCTATCCTATCCTACATTAATTTAGGTACAAAGTCTCATTTATGGCTAACCTTTTCTCATCCGAAATTTCAACAGAATTTTCTGAATTTTTAAGGAAGTAACGGCTAAATATTTTTTTATAATAATAATACAAAATAAATATTTTTAATGTGTATCACCATCCATTTAAAATATATATAGCCTATATAATTATGCGTAAAAACTTCACCATTTCATTTGGTTTTACGATTTTTCATTTCTTTTGTCCGCAAAAATGGTTTCCGAACAAAGTGGTGTCCTTTCTGGGAGTAATCCCATGACTGTTAATGCATCTGATCCTTTAACACTTACTATAGTACAGGTAAAGTGTCTCAAAAATTTTCTCCGTATTTGTTCTTACGGGATAATACAGGAATTCACCAATAATCCCGTTTGTTTACATGTAATTCGCGAGATAAACTCCCCGGTTTGTTTACATATAATTCGCGAGATAAAAAATTTCTATTTGGTTTAAATACAAACTTTATTTACATATAAGTTCTCAAGACTTTAGTGATGACGATGCAAATCGTTATCTTAAAAAAAATTCGTTAAATCAAATCTGATTTTTGCGTACTATGATTTAAAAGTTTTTTGTTAAAGCAAGCGATTAATATAATTAGAACCTTTAACCTATAATGGCTAAAATTTTTTACTAAACTTTAAGTCTTTATTTTTATTTTTTATATTTAACAACATATGTACGGGTAACATGTAACAGGTCGTTATCATAGTAGTTTTTTGTCGTCTCCTCCATCTTGGTCTTAAACGTTTCCGCCAGCCACGAGTCATATCCGAAGTTATAGGTGGAATTATCCTTGGCCCTTCTGTACTGGGACATATTCCGGGATACTTAGATATCATGTTTTCAAAAGATTCCCTTACCTACCTTAATCTTCTGGCTAATTTGGGGCTGCTCCTATATTTATTCATAGTTGGTTTAGAATTGAATCCAACGATGATAAGAAATAGTATAAGAACCGTCATTTCCATCTCTGCAAGTGGGATCATATTACCTTTTGCCTTGGGTGTAGGAGTCGCATATGGCTTGTATGACGCAATGGGCAATAATAACGTGCCATTTACGAGCTTTCTATTGTTCATCTGCGTCGCTATGGCTATTACGGTAAAGAACCCGTTTACATCATTACCTAAAAACGTGCGTATCTCCATAGAGACATCAAAAACATGCTTGTTAAATTACAGGCGTTCCCGGTTCTCGCGCGTATCTTATCGGAGCTGAAACTTATGAAAACTCCCGTAGGTTCTTGCGCGCTAAACGCTGCTGTTGGTGACGATATTACCGCTTGGATCCTCCTTGCATTAGTTGTTGCGATAATTAATGCTTCGAATTATCTCACGGCTCTTTATGCTTTCTTGATCTGTGTTGCCTGGACTCTGGTTGTTGGATTTATTATTCGCCCAATCTTGATAAAACTCATTTTTTTAACAAATTCAAATCAAGCATCTCCATCAACATTGATGGTTGCTATTACTTTATCGATCGCCTTATTGTCTGGATTTGTTACAAATATTATTGGAATTCATTACATTTTCGGAGGTTTCATCGTTGGGGTGATAATTCCTCATGAAGGTGGTTTCGCAGTAGCACTTACTGAAAAAATTGAAGATCTGATTACTGTCCTATTCATACCCATAGTAAGTATTAACTATTTTATAAATAGATAATGTATGGATAAAACACGCACGTCCAATATACGTGTTTATTACACGGCTCCTAATTGTTCACCCATGACCTTTTTTACTGATATTCTCACGGTTTAATATTAGTCCGCCGTG